TTCAGAAAACTATTGTCTTATAACAATAAAACTCAAAGGTTTCTCAAAATATACCTACTTGCTGTGTAGCTTGTAGTATGATTACACAACAACCATAGTTACTTAAAGAAAAAGGAATTGTAATTTAGAGCATAGAGAGATCCATTCCTTTAAAAAAACTATTTCATTTTCAGAAAACAGAAAATGTCTTTGGTCTGGTATGAATAGACAAACATGGCCCTTTAAAGATTCATGGTTGATATTTTAGGTCTATGAAAGTAGTTCATTATCTTCTAGAATTTCACTGAATCAAGTACAGTCGTTTGGTATAAGGTTGTTGAAGATTTTTGAAAAAAATTTTCAAAAGCTTCTCATGGATATGCTAATTTGGTAACAAGGGATAAATATAATTTTGCATAAATAGCACACATCTCAATAATTAAACATTCATTAAGCAATATTGTTGTACCATTATTACTTGGATCTGAAAAATCACTAAGTTTTCCATTTCTTATGCAGTTTTCTTGAAGGAAAACTTTTGGACTTCAGAATTTTGGAAGCTGAAAGTTGAGCAGGTTTTTCCCATTTTGCTGTATCACACATTTTTCATATTTCTCAGACCTTGCAGTTCTTTTCTTAAGTGCTTGAGAGCAACTAAAATATCAGCTAGCTGGGGATCATTCTGTGCTTTCTGAGTATATAGACGGAAATGTCTGATGGTTTCAGACAATAGGACTTCAGCGTCTATGTCTCTCTCCTGAAGACGAAGCATCCGCTCACAAGCGAGGGCGTAGTTCTTGTGCCAATTCACTGGGTGTTCCTTTTGTAAATAGACAATCTCCTTATAAAGCTGGAAAATGGAAAAATGTTGGTATTCCATTGTTATTCCTTGACTTTTTTCCCCCCCAAAACCATAAAAAATAAAGGAATTAAGAAAAAAAAAAAATCCAAGCAGCCTACAGTAAAATCAAATTGTTGCTAGGCCATGCAGAAAATGCAACGATGTTACTGTAATTATAACAGTAGCGGCAGGCAAATATGCTTCATCTAAAACTGTTTCTGGGGTTTTTGGATGTTGCAGAAGGAACCCGAGACACACTGTGTCAGGACAAAATGCTCTTCCTCCAGAAAGATTTCTGGGAAAGGGATTTAGGTCTAAATTGTGGCAAGCTATTTACTCAACAGGCAGAGAAGTTGAAACTCTAAATTTAGCTGTTAGAGGGGGGAAAAAAATGACAACTTTCTTTAGAAGACTGTGTGGAAAAAGAACTTGAAGGAATTTAAATTCTGTCCCATATTATTTAAAAGAATTTCTCTCTGCATTGAACACAACAGTAATAATAGCAATAACAAAACAATCCAAACAATTCTATAATCAGGTAGGTTAAGCATAACAGAATTTAAGAGATATCCTTAAAGCAAGATAGCAAAAATTTTCAGTTATCCTATAGCTTATATTTTTGATAGTTAAAATTTGCCCACAAAAATTTCAAATTTTGATTTTCCAACATCAGAGACAGTATCAATTGAATATAGTTAGAATTTTCAATATTGAGTTTTCCAGAGGAAACACATTAAAATTTAATAAATAAATAAAAAGGTAATACAAATCTGCTAAATGTAGTGTTATGCTTGCTTCTTTGGGAATTTCACAGCCTTCCTGGGGACTGTCAAGTTACAGCTGGATTCCCAGGAGTTTTCCTGTAGATTCTCTGAGCACAGAATAGCAATAACGCTTTCTATGGGACAAGTGCTTTTTGAATTTGAATTGCATTCAAAACGTCATTTTGCTGAAACAGACCAATTATATTATTTATTTCTCAAACTCCTACTCCAGAGAAGACAAATCCATACCTATTTCAAAACAGCATCCTTGTTAAAAATCCATGTTTGATATGTCATTTTGATACTTAATAAACCTTCCATCTTCAAGTTGCCTTTTACAGCAACTTCCCCCTCAGTTCCCTTATTTTTATGAAATAGGAAGTGGGGGTGGCGGTGTAGTTCAGTGATAGAGCACTTGCCTAGCATGGGTTCAATCCCCCACAACACAATGAAATAGGAGAGTCCCCACATGCTTTAATATATATCAACGCTATGAAGTCTGCCTCCTACATTTTTATTCCTTTGGTAAAACATTCAATTCTTCTCTGCCCTCTCTCATAATCTCCTTTTCTCTTTCAGTTGCTTTTTCTGAGCTTCCCTCTGAGGAATGTATATAAAGTGTATAGCATGCTGCTCACATCAAGTAGGTGCTCAGGAACCTATTGAGATTCAAAAACCTATTGAGATTCTGGAGTCCAAAAGAGAGACAGTGCTTCAAGAAGCCTTAATTTCCTGAATTGCTCAAGAGAATCAGAGGCTCAAGTGACCTACCTCCTATATAGTCTTTAGGTATTGAAGAATCTACATTATGACTGATGCATCTTCAATTTGATTTGGATGACCTAGTAAGTCACAAATGTCAAGTCTTAAGAAGCCAATCATGTTTCATGATGTGGAATTGGAATTATATTTCCTTTTCCAAGTGTGCTACTATGACATTGTTTTAATAGACTTGTCCCATTAATTGGAAACATTTTCAACTTAACCAATTTGTTCCTGAGGAGCTGGCTATTCCATGCTTCTTTACCATCCCTGAACTTAATATTCTGTTTAAACTACTGAGCTAGATGATGTAAATGACAACAAAAATATCCTTTACACCTAACAATATTCTAGAAAAACCAGTAATAGGGGTGGGTTTGTGTTGATCCACCAAATAATTGCCCTCAATTGTCTTGTAAGAATTATCACACATCTGTAGTCACAGGAGATACCGATAGTCTGTGTTCACTGAAAAAAACAAAGCTTATTGTCCAAAGGGGGAAAAAAAATCCACAAATGAGCTTTAGGTGGTCTAGCAACTGACCATGGAAGAGATCTCTGATAAGAAAATAAAAACAAAATATTAATAATTCTCAGTTTTCTCCCTAGTAAATACTGCTTTTTTTTTTTTTTTTTGGTATCAGGAATTAACCACTGAGTCACGTCCCCAGCCCATTTTAGTTTTTATTTTGAGACAGGTTCCTGCTAAGTTGCTTAGGGCCTCACTAAGTTGCTGAGGCTGGCCTCTAACGTGTGATACTTCTGCCTCAACCTTCAGAGTCACTGGGATTATAGGCCTGTGCTACAACACCTAGCTCTCCCAAATAAATGCTGTTTATTTTTCATAGTGTTACAGGGTATGAGAGATGAATAGAATATGATACATTCAAAGGTACAAGAGCTGATCTTATTTTTGTATGTGTGTGGTATTGGGGATTGAACCTAGGGGCACTCAACCACTAAGCTATACCCCCAGTCCTATTTTCTCTCTCTCTCTCTTTTTTGAGTAGCATCTCATTAAGTTGCTGAGGCTGGCCTCAAAGTTGCAATTTCCTGCCTCAGCCTCACAAATTGTGGGATTTTAGGTGTGTGTCACCACATCTGGTTAAGAGCTAATCTTTTGAAGTTTAAAGACTATATTTTTCAAAAACTTTCTTTAGATTTTGACAGACCTTTATTTTATTCATTTATTTATATGCAGTGCTGAAAATCGAACCCAGTGCCTCACACATGCTAGGCAAGCGCTTTACCACTGAGCCACAACTGCAGCCCCCAGAAGCCCATAATTTGTTAAAGGAAAAAATCAAAGCCTGGGAAGGTTAACTGACTCACAGTTAACAATTAATGGCAGGGAGGATGGAGAACCTAGACCTCCCATCTACCAGACAGAATTCCAGTGTGCCACCCCCTATAACAAACTCCCTTCCTGTCCTCCAGGGGGATTCCCTGGAGGATCCTGCCTTTGCTCCCTGGGTGTCTTCCTTTATGGACTGCTCTCCCCTCCTCTCTCACTTCCTTGCCCCATCATCTTTCTTGCCAGCTCTTTCTGATATTTCAAGGACATCTAGTGGCATCTCTTCTGGAAGGCTCTCTTCTTTCCTCCCAGCTTGGGCTCTCTGTTCCCACAGAACCTCGGCAGGCCTCTCACAGCACTTACAAGAGTGAACTGTGACTGAGGACTTGATCATCTGTCTCCCTCTTCAGCCTGCTACTTTTTTGATAATTGGAACAAGGTCAATTATCTCCAACATAGTATGTGGTATGGAGTTGGTGCTCAATAAATGCTTTGTGAGTGAAGGAATACATGAATAAACAATGAACCAATAATGAGAATTTAGTAGTGAAATTAGTCATACTTATTGGATGCCATGTTATTTTTGACTCAGCACAAGCAAATGCCCTGGCTAAGCAGATCCATGGCAGTCTAGAGAGAGAGAGAGCGGAAAAATCTCATTGCTCAAACACATAGGTCCTGAGCTCTGTCTTCATAGGTCCTTGTCAGGATATTTGTTTCTTATATAAGACCCCAAGACTAAATCTGAAGGTGTTGAAAGAGCCCATTGCTATAAATAACAAAAGCAGAAACTTGTTAAAATAGTGCCATAGCAAGCCTCCTTTCTGTGTTCCATTTCCCAGCAGAGAAGGACAATTTGTGCAGAAGCCTCAGTGTACCTTGGGAAGGTCCATTCAGCTTCCTGTGGCCAGTTAGAAGACAGGGCCTCTCTCTGTGACCTTTTACCTTTACTCTTAAAATCTCAACCAGCCATGGCTATATCATCTTTTAAATAGCATATATTGATTATACAGGACAATGGGTTTGATTGTGTCATATTCACATGCATATTACATACTTTGGTCATTTCTACTCCCAACTACCCCTCTTATCTTTCCTTCCCTCCTTTCAAGTTCCTCTTCTTCTCTAATCATCTCCCTTCTACTTTCAAGTCCTCTTTAAAACATGCGAAACTTGTCTTTTTGAGCATGGCTTATTTTGCTTAACATGATGATCTTCAGTTCTATACATTTTCCTAAAAATGATATGATTTTGGGCTCGGGAGCGCGCGCGAGCGCGTGCGGGAGGGGGCGGGTGGGGAAGGATCACTGGCAAGATCCCCAGGCGAGGCTCGAGTGCCCGCGCCCACCCAGTCGCCCGGCCCAGCCATGATCAAGGCGATCCTCATCTTCAACAACCACGGGAAGCTGCGGCTCTCCAAGTTCTACCAGCCCTACAGTGAAGATACACAACAGCAAATCATCCGGGAGACTTTCCATTTGGTATCTAAGAGAGATGAAAATGTTTGTAATTTCCTAGAAGGAGGATTATTAATTGGAGGATCTGACAACAAACTGATTTATAGACATTATGCGACCCTATATTTTGTCTTCTGTATGGATTCTTCAGAAAGTGAACTCGGCATTTTAGATCTAATTCAAGTATTCGTGGAAACCTTAGACAAATGTTTTGAAAATGTGTGTGAACTGGATTTAATTTTCCATGTAGACAAGGTTCACAATATTCTTGCAGAAATGGTGATGGGGGGAATGGTATTGGAGACCAACATGAATGAGATTGTTACACAAACTGATGCACAAAATAAACTGGAGAAATCTGAGGCTGGCTTAGCAGGAGCTCCAGCCCATGCTGTATCAGCTGTAAAGAATATGAATCTTCCTGAGATCCCAAGAAATATTAACATTGGTGACATCAGTATAAAAGTGCCAAACCTGCCCTCTTTTAAATAAAATATTAAAAAGGCTACTCCCAGGTAAAATCCAGGGGGAAAAGTCATCTAAGTTTACCATGCAGTTGTTTACCAAAAATAGAGGAGGAGAGTTTTAACTTTTGCTCTTGGATTTAAGTCAAGGTACTGTATAGAAATTGTGTAAAATCAGTATGGAAGTTCAATGTTGCTTTTCTTGCTCAGTGTTTAAAAGAAATTGAGTAGTTCCAGTGTGATTTTTTTTTTCCTTTTTAAAACTGCATTCCTATGCCCACCTAAGGCATGCCTCTGTGTATTGGCTATTACAGTATTTCGAAAAGTAAGATATTTCTTTAATTATGTACAACCTGAAATGTTGGTGTTTTGTATGGATCATCAGTGCAGCATTCCTTAATTCTTTCTGCTATTTGTCACAATTGTTATTTAAAGAACCAAGTGTGTATTGCATGAAAACATTATGACCTTTTTCTCTTAGTTTAAATAAATTCCAAGGTAACTGGAAAAAAAATGATATGATTTTATTCTTCATGGCTGAATGAAATTCCATTGTGTATATATACCACATTTTCTTTATCCATTAATCTGTTGACAGGCACCTAGGCTATTTCCTTAATTTGGCTGTTGCAAATTGTTCTGCAATAAACATGGGTATGCAGGTATCTCTATAGTATGCTGACTTTAATTCCTTTGACTATACCAAGAAGCGGTATAGCTCAATCATACAATAGTTCCATTTTTAGTTTTTTGAGGAATCTCCATACTGATTTCCATAGTGGTTATATTAATTTACTTTCCCACCAACATTGTATAAGGGCTTCTTTTTTCCCTATATCCTTACTAGCATTTACTATTTACCATGTAAGGTAACATAGTCACAGGTTCCGGATATTTTTTTGGGGGGTGGATTACCAGGGGTGCTTCACCACTGAGCCACATCCCCAGTCCTTTTTACTTTATTATTTTAATTTTGAGACAAGGTTTCACGAAGTTGCTTAGGCTGGCCTTGAACTTGTGATCCTCCTGTGTTAGCTTTCTGAGTTGCTGGGATTATAGTTGTGTGCCTGTTTTTTATATTCTTGATGATTGCCGTTCTGAGACATAGGAGATACCCATCTCAGGTAAATTGGACTCTCAATGTAGTTTTGATTTGCATTTCCCTGATGGCTAAAGATATTGAACTCCACCCCCTCCCCCACAGCCCAAATAATTACTGACCATTGGCCCTATCATTCCAGGTGTAGACAGTGTCAAGACTTTTATAAAGAGGATAACCTGTCAGAAGGTTTTTTTTTTTTTTTTTTAATGAAGCCATTATAATAGTTTCCTATTGCTGCAATAACAACTTATGCACACAGTTACTTAAAACACATATTTGTTATCTTGCACTTCTGGTGGTGAGAAGCTGTTAAATCAGCAGCGTTGAATTTCTTCTGGAGGACCTAGTGAGGGATCTGTTTCCCTACATTTTCCAACTTCCAGAGGCATTCTGCACTTTTTATTATTATTTTTTAAATACATGACAACAGAGGAATGCATTACAATCCTTATTATACATATAGAGCACAATTTTTCATACCTCTGAATATGAAGTATGTTCACACCAATTTATGCCATTTATACATGTACTTTTTTTGCATTACAATTCTTAATACATATATATATATATACTACAATTTTTCATATCTCTGTTTGTATATAAGGTATATTGATACCCAATTCAAGTCTTCATACATGTACTTTGTATAATGATGACCATCACATTCCACCATCCTTTCTAATCTCCTTCCCCCTCCCTTTCCCTCCCATCCCTCTGTACTTCTTAATCTGCAGCCCCTTCCTCCATCTTCAGGGCCAATGGTGTAGCGTCTTCAAATCTCTCCCTCTGTGACCTCTGCTTCTGCGTTGCATCTCTTCTGACTCTGACCTTCCTGTCTCCTTTTTATAAGACCCCTGTGATCATATCAGGCCTACCTGAATAATCCAAGATAATCTTCCATTTCAAGACCCTTAACTTAAATCTCATCTACAAAGTCTCTTTTACCACGTAAGGTAACATAGTCACAGGTTCTGGATATTAGGCTACAGACATCTTGGTGGGAGTATTTTGTCTACTCTCCATCATGAACATTGTTCATGATACAATTGAGTTATTTTCCCATATATGATGTTTTATAATGCCCAAACTAAAGTTTGAAACAAAAGAATACAAACTCTGTCATTGCTGGGCATGGTGGCACATGCCTGTAATCCCAGCCATTTCAGAGGCTGAGACAGGAGGATTGATAGTTCAAGGCCAGCCTCAGCAACTTAATGAGACCCTAAGCAACTTAGTGAGACCCTGTCTCAAAATAAAAAATAAAAAGGGCTGGGGATGTGCTCAGAGGTAAAGTACTCATGGGTTCAATCCCCAGTACCAAAACAAACAAAAACCTCCGTTGTACATCCTCTCTCTATCCCAATGACTGCCACCTTCCCACCAAATATCTCTACAAAATTTTCACATACCTTATATGCATGAGAGTAGAGCTGAGTTTTCACCTTTGAAGGCATATCAGTAGTTTCTGCCAGGCTGAAGATGAAGAACGGTGTTTTCATCCTGGGGTGGGAATGGGAACCTTTATTAAAATCATACCATCAATTTCATATTCAGAGCTAAATCTTCCAAGCTTTCCACTGGTATGGAGCGTACAAAACACTTTACCGTGCTATTTTTCATTCTTTCATGTTCATGGAAGTTTACTCTGAACCTATAGCAACAGCCCCTTCCCCAAAGTGCTGCACTTATTACCAAATCTTTCAGAAAAAAGTCTACGTTAATCATTGCTATTACATCTGGTCTCCTTCAGATGAACATTATTCTTAAGCAAGAACAGCTGGAAAGAGGGGAGACTTGGCTGGATTATCAGCACATTCCTGAAAGTGCTTATCATGGCAGCTTACTCTGTATGTGACCTGGTCTTCAAAGGTGGCTAGATTCTTTGACCACATAAACTCATCCAAGTTGTATTTAGCACACTAATTAAATCAATACCTACTGGAGTAATGACAGCTTTCTTCTTTTATGTGATTTCTCCCTAGTTTTCCCACAGTTAGTCACAGAAATGTGGATACAATGTATCTTTTACCAGGGATTTAAAGCGAGTGTTTGTCCTTATAACTAAGCTGATAAGTTGATATGTGCTGTTTCCGGGACTTTTTCAAAACTATTATTTATAAACTATGGTATATCTTTTTATAATCATTATCTTACAGTTGTATTTCTTGACTCCTCCTCTTCCTCTTCCTCCTCTTCCTCCTCCCCCCTCCCCCTACCCCCTCTTCTTCAGATTGACCCCAGGGGTGCTTTTACCACTGAGACAGGGTCTCACTAAGTTGCCCAAACCTCAAATTTGTGATCATCCTGCTTTAGTCTCCCAGGGAGCTTGTGTCACAGGTGTGCACCACTGTGCCCAGCTTCTTAACATCGTTTTAAACACATGTAAACATAACTCAATTCCAAATGCACAGTCCCTGGCATACACTTTTGCAGAAGAAGCAGCCAATAGGAGCAAGCCACCCCTGTGTATTAGTTAAGACCTTTACATTAATATTTCAGTCAAACTTTGCTCATGTTAGTTGTTTTGATTATTTAAAAATAATGACAGGGACCAGGAAAAGCAGTAACATCACTATGAAGTGTTCCATACAGAAGAATGTGATCTCTCTCTGAACAACAGGAAAGTACAGCATCTATCATATTAATCTCTTTTAGCATGTTGGTTCATTCCATCAGACTATGATTTCCATGAGGGTAGAAACTGTGTCATATTCATATGTATAGCTTTGATGCCTGGAACAGTGCCTGGCTTCTAGTAAGTATTAAGTAAGTGCTTAATTAACTGGCACATTACAAATAGAGGCAAGGTTGCGATGGTCAACTTCTACTCAATCTCATTCACTTTGGTTTAATTGAAAGGAGAGCATGGGAGTTAAGAATGTTCTAGAGTCAAAGTCCAGGCTCCATCATTAATAGCCTAGTGGCCTTGGGCATGTACACTTTCTTCCAGTTTGTTGTTTTATAAAGTGGTGATATTAATAACAACTTCATACGTTATGAGGATGAGAATAGATTAATTGTATTAGCTCAAAAAACCATTTGTACAATGCCTTAAACCAAATAGTTGCTCATAAATATTATTTTTATTACCACTCACCCCTGTTCCCAAAGTAAAAATTGCCATAGGCTACTTCTCTGATACATTAAAAACAGACTGCAAACACAAAAATGTAATTAATCACCTTGCTTGCCACATCTCTTCATTGGCCACAGATTCCCAAGAAGATGGATCAAACCTGCAGTTATAAGAAACAATAATATCTTTCTGTCAGCTACATTTATTGCTATAGACATGAAATGCCTGTTTTAAAATCTTATAAGGCCACTAAAACAGTCTGAATCTTTCTTTCTTTCTTTTTCTTTTTTTGGAGGGTGTACTGGGAAACCCAAGGGCTCTTTACCACTGAGCTACATTCCCAACCCTTTTTATTTTAATTTTGAGACAAGGTCTTGCTAAATTGCTTTGGGCCTTGCTATCTTGCCTTAGCCTCCCAAGTTGCTGAAATTACAGGTGTGTGCTACTACACCTGGCAAATAGGCTGGATCTTTAAGAACTAATAATGACCAAACTAATAAATTTATTCTCCTAAAAAGAAGTTCAGTTAAGGAATTACAGGGTTTTGATAAATGTGTCCTTAATCAGTGTGAGCTCTAGTGCCTCAAGGGAGCAAACAAAGACATTTGGGGGACCAGCTATTATTAAGAGCTGTTAAACGGCAACAGTTAGGTGTGGGCCATGCTCTAGACAGAGTGAAGACCCCAGGAGCTGTGAAACAAGGGAATAATCATGAAGAGGGGAACTCCTGGCTTGGATAAACCATTACTAGGACTATTTTGCCAAACAAAGAACTCTAGCCAAAATATTTATTGATTTTTCTCCATTAAAATTTCTCTTTTATTGTGTATTTTGACAGAAGAGACAATGAATAATGCTATGCACACATATTATTGTCCACAATCTGAAGAATACGTTATTTCTAACTTTTTCTTATAAAGGCCACAGAGTGCTTTGTTTTAATACTAGTTATCAGGCTCTGGATGTTAATGCAACAATGTGGTCTGTTTGCTTATGTTGATTCAAAAAACTTTTATAGCATTTGTTCATATGAACTTGTCTTTTGATTTTCAATTTTAAGCAGGTTAGATAATTTTTAAGTAATTCATAATTTTTAAAATAGGTAGAGGAGTTGGAAGGATTGTAAATTAGTACAATCACTATGGGAATCAGCATGAAAGTTCCTCAAAAGACTAGGAATAGAACCGCCATATGATGCAGTTATCCTACTCCTCAGTATTGATCCTAAAGAATTAAAGTCAGCATACTATAATGATACATGGATACCCATATGTTTATAGCAGCACAATCCACAAAAGCCAAACTATGGAACTGGCCTAGGTACCATCAATAGATAAAGAAAATTTATATTTATATTCAGCCAAAAAGAAAAATAAAATTATGATATTTGCAGAAAAATGAATAGAACTTGAGAACTTTATGCTAAATGAATTAGGTCAAACTCCAAAGGTCAAGGGTCATGTTTTCTCTCATATGTGGAAGCTAGAGAGGATAAAGGAAAAGAAAGGTGGAGGGATCTCATGAAAATCAAAGATAGATCAGCAGATGACATACTGAGGAAGGATATTCACCTTATAATATAAATATAAACAAACCCCACCATTATGTATAATTATAAAAAATAAGAAAATAATTTTAAAAATAAGAAAAAATGCAAATAGGTAGTGGAAACAATTCTTTAGACAGTGACCCATTTTCCATATGGGAGACAGTCAACTCTATGTAGAAATGCTTAAAGGAAGACTAATAGTAATGCCCCAAACAACATAAACAGGTTGATGCCAAATAGCTGGAAAAAAATTTAAAAAGTACTCAAATTCGGTCTTCTGCTGTTGTTGTGCTGTGGATTGAACCCAGGACCCTGCACATGGTAGAAAAGTACTGTACCACTGAGATACTTGTGCAGCCCATATCTGCCATTCTTGAAAAAAAAAAATGACAAGTTCATGCATGTGGAAACTATCATGGGCAGCAGAGTGCCTCTGAAAGTTCAAGTGCTGTTAATGAGCCCCTTTTATTTTAGGATAATGAGATACGGGGTGGGGGTGGACAATACAGTGTTGAAAGGTCTGGAAGCTGCAGATGCCATACATCTAACTCTTGTGGTACCCACTCAATCTCCTTTTCCCGCTATGTCCCATCATTCTGTTAATAGGAAGTCAAGAGAGAGATGTTTTCTGATACATTGTGGGAAGCAAATAATTTTGAAAATAAAAAACAAAAAAAAAATTAAAAGACAACTGAAAGTGTGTATTTTTTTAGACACACAAAACTGTCATATTCTGCTTAAAATACAACTGCTTTTCATACCTTCCATATTCTTCAGTCCAGTTGTAGATATTTCTTGTGAGTTTAATCCATTCCTCAGGGTTGAATACAATCTCTGAAGGAACTAATTTGTCACAAGACCCCCACGGCCAAAGTGAATAGTTCTTTTTCCAGGTTGGGTCACCTTCATGAATTCCTATGCAAACAAATGTTTCTTTTCTATTGAAAAGAGAAAAATAGGTGAGGTAGTTTTAACTTAAGATTCTAAATGGTAAATATAATCTATCAAATGTCACTTTAGATGCCTTAAACCTTGGTTACCAATAAGCTATCTGTAAAGATGTGGTTTATTTAAATATTTCACTAATACATTAAAATCTATCTTAGTGTAAAAATAATGGGATTTTTTTTTTTTGAGTGGGAGCAAACAGACCTAGATGAAAAAAATCTTCCTGTCTATAACATTATATCACATGGGGACAAGTATGATTTTTAAAAAACTGCTGTGGTATTGTCTCATGTGTAAACATGTTTTAATATCTCCTTTTATTTTACAAGCAGAAATACAAATCTTCCTTTGTATCCCTACTTAGTCCTAGTCATTCTTTCCTTAAATTCCCATTATACTTTTGAAAAAAAAATTATCTTTTTTGTTATTATTATATTCAACTTATTATTAGCATTTGTAAATCTCCCTGAATAGCTCCCTGAAGTAACTCTGAATCCCACATAGCATGACACATACCTAATATATAATAAATATTTGCTGGATAAAATTAATTAGAATAACTATTAGGAACCTCAGTTCCTGAAAAAATTAGTAATAAAAATGGTTAAAATAAGCTTTGTTCAGGAAAAATGATAACTAATTATCTTCCAATTTGTTGTTTATGTCTTAATAGATATTATTAAGTAAGAAAAAAAAAGGAACATATTAGGGGAAACTGGTGAAAAGTTAAAAAGTGAAAACAAAACAAAACTTTGAAACAAGATACCTCCAGCTTAGATTTTAGATTTTTTTTTTTTTTTGTATTGGCAATTAAACCCAGGGGCATTTCACCACTGACCCATATCTCCAGCCCTTTTTATTTTTTATTTTGAGAAAGGGTCTTGCTAAGTTGCTGGGGATGGCTAGATTTTAGATTTTTGGGGGGTATCATTTACTGCCTCTAGGATTTGGGGAAAATTAACTACCTGTGCGTAGTCTCCTCACCTGTGAAATAGGTCTGATAACTGTCTTTGATAGTTTTCAAAAATTAAATGAAATATCTGATTTAAAGTACATTCTTAAAACATAATAGAGTTCAGTTTTGAGGAAGGTGGAGTGAGTTCACTTGTCTCGCCATCTGCACTCAACTATGGCTCCTGGACATAATACATGGAGCAGGTATCTGAGGACTCCGAAAGAGAAAGGATAAAAAGAAGTCTGGGGAAAAGACCAGAATTCAAAGTTCTATCAAATCAGCAGTGAACTTATCATTTGTCTCCCTGCAGTACTGCGAGGAATGTACTCAAAGAAAGCTCCAATCCAGCAGTATATATGAAGACACAAAGAAATCCAAGAAAAAAAAGCCTTTTATTTCTGGCCTAAAGAACAAGAAAGTGGACTCTTACAGTTTGGAGAGAGTGGAGAAAACCCCCTGGATCTTCCCCCTCCTTTCCTTCTCAGACACCAAGAAACACTTAGGCAGCAGTAGAGTCAGCACCACAGATATGGTAGTGGCAGTTGGGCAGAAGCCTAAAACTCTGAGGGAGAGGAACCCTTCCTTTTCTCTTAGCAGAGGAGCTGTGGTTCCAAGAGTAAAGGGCCAATCCCCATTGCCTTTTGTATGTCCTTCTGCAGCTTGACCCCAGATGCAGGCAGTTATAGGAAGTACATGGCAAAAGATTGAAATTAAAACCCCAGCTTTCTGGATAGAGAACCAGGAAGGGAAGGCCTTAGGGAGCTGGAAAGTACTGGGATGACCAGTCCTTTGGAGCAGAAATCAAGACAGCCAATTCCATAAAATTGTGTATGGACTCCTGGCTTGGAGATAAGAATACGTGGATCTGACCCTAAACAGAGTTTGCAAAATTAACCATATGACAGTTGATCACCCAGATCTCAGATTAGACACTTGGTAGCACTCACATGGGATTGATCCAAATGTTACTGCAACTGTTTTAAAAATAGAACTGGAATTGGAACCACAGCTCACAGAAAGTAGACCAGAACTTGCAGCCAGAAATTAACTTGGCCAAAGATCTGTTAAATAATAATAAAAAAAAATAGACACTGTTTTGGGATTAAATAAGGACCAATATTCAAAATGTCTAGCATGTAATCCAAAAGTACTCAGAATGTTAAGAACCAGAAAAATCTCAACTCACAAGGGAAAAGACAATCAACAGTTTCCAATTTCAAGGTGACTCAGATGCTAGCATAGACACACAAAGACTTTTTAAAAGCTATGATAATCATGCACCAAGAAGTAAGGGCAAATACTCTTGAAATTAGTGAGAAGACAGGGCATCTCAACAAAGAAAAGGAAGATATAAAGAGGAACCCAATAGAAATTACACACCTGAAAACTATAATCACTGAAATTAAAAATTAACTGGGTGGGCTTAATATGAATTCAGGGAAAGAGTATGTCAAAAAGAAACAGACTGAAGAAAATGTAGAGTCCCAGGCACCTAAGTTTAGGTCATTAGTTTCAGAAGAGAAACTATGTGGAACAGAAAAAAATATTTAAAGAAATGATGTCTGAGAAGTCCACAATTTTACATATTCAAGAAACTCTGCAAAACCCCAAACAGGTTTGGCTCAAAGAAATCCGCACCTAGATTCCTCATAATCGAACCACTGAAAACTAAAGACAAATAAAAAGTCTTGAAAACAGCCAGAGGGAGAGAATATATTTCTGCTGTGGATTTCTCATCAGAAGATACATAGGTCAAAAGGATGTAAAATAACATTTTTCAAGTGCGGGGAAAAAATATTTATCAACACAAATCCTGTATCCACAAACAAGCTTAAGAAAATGAAGGTGAAACAAAACATTTTTGGATGATAGAAAATTAAGAGGACCCACTGCTAACAGTTCTTCTCTAAAAGAAATGTTACAGGGGGCTGGGGCTATAGCTCAGTGGTAGAGCATTCGCCTCCCATGTGGAAGGCACTGGGTTCAATCCTCAGCACCACATAAAAATGAAATAAAGGTATTGAGTTCATCTATAACTAAAAAAATATTTTTTAAAAAAAGGGGTTGAAGTTGTGGCTCAGTGGTAGAGCGCTTGCCTAGCATGTGTGAGACACTGGGTTCAATTATCAGCACCACATATAAATTAATAAATAAAAAAAGGTCCATCAACAAATGAAAAAAAATATTACAGGAATGTATTCAGAAAAGAGGGAAATGATACAAAAGGGAAACATCTAAATACTGGATTAAAGGAAGAAAAACAGACTTGGTAAATACCTAGATAAATACTGTGTTTTTTCTTTTAAGATATTTAATATGTGTCTAAAAATTTGAAAACTAAAATTAGCACATGCATGATATAATGTATGTAACAACACAATCAAAAGTGGGGAGATTAAAGGAATTTAATCCTTTCTGAAATCATTGAATTACAATAACACCTTTCTTGTTATCTACCAAAAAAAATTCCTTCTGGGTTTTTTGATTGGTTTTAATCATTAATCACTTATCTTTTTTTAAAAAAATATTTTATTAGTTGTTGATGGACCTTTATTTATTTATATGTGGTGCTGAGAATTGAACCCAATGAGTCACACATGCTAGCCAATGCTCTACCACTCAGCCACAACCCAAGCCCCATTCATCATTTATCTTTAATCAAGATTTCTACATTTCATTTGAAGTTCTAAAATAAACATCTTTAATAGATTAAAAAATTATGTATTTATACTATAATTTCAAGAGCAAGCAGGACTTAAAAGGCAAGACAAACAAACAAACAAAAAAACCCAAATCTTCACCAAGACACATAGTAAAAATGATACAGTAAAATTCTCAATAAAAAATTTGAAATGGGCACAGTGGCACATTCCTATAATTCCAGTGGCTCAGGAGGCTAAGGCAGGAAGATTGTAAGTACAAAGCCAGTGCCAACAATTTAGTAAGGCCTTATCTCAAAATAAAAAAGTATATAAAAAGGGGGGAGGTGGGGATGTGACTCAGTGGTTAAGCACCCCTGGGTTCAATCCCTAGTACCAAAAATAAAATAAAATAAATGGAATTATAGGGAAAAAATCAATACAAAAGAAGGAAGAAAAGTGGAAACAGTGAAATGAAAAATAGGGAACACACTTAAGCAAATAACAAAAAAGTAGACATACATCTAAACATATTGAATGCAAATGGTTTAAATAAACTAGGTAAAATACAGATTTATAATAAAACAAGATCCAAACATATGCTATCTACAAGAGCCATTTTAAATATGATATAATTTGGTTAAAAGCAAAAGGATGAAAAACACTAATCAAATTAAAACCAACCAAAAATTCCAGAAGGATTTTTTTTTTTTGGTAAATAACAAGAAAGGTGTTATTGCAGGAGCTGGAGAATATCATGCTAAGTAAAGTAAGCCAATCACCAAAACCCAAAGGCCCAAAGTTCTCTCTGATAAGTAGATGCTGATCTATAAATGTGGGGGGGGCATGGGAAGAATGGAGGAACTTTGATTGGGGAAAGGGGAGGGAGAGAAAAGGAGGGGACATGGGCGCAGGAAAGATGGTAGAATAAGACAGACATCATTACCATAGGTATGTGTATGACTACATATATGGTGCGATGCTACATCGTGTACAACCGGAGAAATGAAAAGTTGTGTGCCATTTGTGTACAATGAATCAAAATGCATTCTGCTGTCAAATATACCTAATTAGAATAAATACACAAAAACAATGAAAAAAATAAAATATGCATCTAAAAACAACAAAAAAAGAAAGATGTTATTGCAATTCAATGATTTCAGAAAGGACAATCTTTTCAACAAAGAGTGTGAGGAAAATTTGGCATCTCATATGCAAAAACAAAACTATAAAACTTAGAAGAAAACATGAGAAAATCTTCATGACTTGGCATTAGCAAAGAATTCTTAGCAACAACTCCAAAAGTATAATTCATAAAAGAAAAATAATTGGGGATTTCATTGAAATAAAAAAAACCCCTTTATCTCCACAAGAGATATTTATAAGATAATAAGAAGACACAAATGGAGAAAATGTAAATGTTTAACAATTACATATCGACAAAGGATTCATATCTAGAACATATAAAAAAATTTTAAAACTCAAAAGGAAACAAATCGCTTAATTCTACTCCTAGGTATGAAAACATATTCATACAGAAACTTAAGCATAAATGTTTATAGCAGCTCTATCTGTAAATGCCACAAACTGGAAACAACACAAATGTTTTCAATAGGAGAGAGGCTAAACAAATTGTGGTACATCCATGTAATAGAATATTACTCAGCAACAAAATGTAATGAACTAGTATATAAAACTTGGGTGGATTTCAAAGGCATATGTTGAGTAAAATATGCCATTATCAAAAGATTACATTCTTTATGATTCCATTTATATAACATTCTAGAAAAGGTAAAACTACAATAATGAAGAACAGATCAGTGGAGGATAAGGTTAGGGCTCTGATGATATTATGGATATACAAGAGTAGCACAAAGACAGCTTGAGGGGCAACAGACTTTTGTATTCTGACTGTTGTGGTGATCTCATAAATGTATACATGTATTAAAATTCATAGAACTGTATGCCCCCCCCCCAAAAAAAAAGAGGGAAAAGAAAAAAATTACTGTATAATTAAACATAAAATAACAGTTGCTAACTAAATTTTAGCTTCTTTCTTTTTTGGTGGGGGTGTTACCAGGGATTGAATTCATGGGCACTCAACCACTGAGCCACATCCCCAGCCCTATTTTGTATTTTATTTAGAGACAGGATCTCACTTAGTTGCTTAGCCCCTCCCTGTTGCTGAGGCTGGCTCTGAACTCGCAGTCCTCCTGTCTCAGCCTCCCTAGCTTCTGGGATTGCAGACATGTGTCACTGTGCCTGGGGATTAGCTTCTTTCTTTTTAAAAGTACTCATTTTAAAGAGCTTTCATGTGATGGTCCAACATTTTGGGGGAGGAAATCCCTATTAAGTGTTTTTAAGTCATTCATGTCCTTACACTTAGTAATTTTACTTCTGAATGAAATACTAATATTCTAATTATTGTTACTATTAGTAATAGTATAATTACTATTATTTTTTACTAATATTGATTATTCTACCCTAATAAATTCTTCTGTCCACAAAAAATTACATGTACAAAGGCTTTTGTTGTAGCTCATTACTTTAGATACAATGTTAATATCTACTAACATTTGCATTAACCTATTATTATTAAATCATAGTATATGTATCTACTAAAAATATTTATAAAGAGTTTATAAAAACATAAGAAAATGTTCTTATGATATTGAAGGAAAAAACAGGACTATATTTTACACTATGCTTTCAACTTTGTAAAAAATATGCATTTTTTTACATTAATTGTTTCTGAATGATAGGACCACTCTTAATTTTTAAAAATTAATTTATTATTTAGCTGGGGATTTGGCTCAGTTGGTAGAGTGCTTGCCTCGCATGCACAAAGTCCTAGGTTCAATTCCCAGCACCACCCAAAAAAAAAAAAAAAAAAACCTTTATTAGAGACACACTCTTTGTAGTAGTAAAAAATTAAAACTTGAATTATTATTCTATAATGAACACATACTACTTTTTAAATCACATATTATTTTTAAAGCAGACAATAAACATGATTTTCGTTAGTAAAAAATATTGACAAAACTTTATGGGTCAGAATGCTTATTACCATGTTAATAGTAGCAAAAGTCTAGAAACAACAAAAGTTTATAAAAAAAATAGTATGTTAAATTATCATGAATCCTATGGAAATATAGCAAAAAAAAAATGATGGTAATAAAGACATTTTATTGATCACATGGGAAATGCACATGATATGTTGTCAGGAAAAAATAACTGGACAGAAAATGAGATATTCCTGCTATATAAAATATAGTATATGTCTATGTGTATATATGTACATAAATAAATAATTTGTTAAATGGAATCAAAAACAGCTTATCAAAATGTTAACAGTAGCCAAGCACAACGGCACGTCTAGAATCCCAACTACTCCAGAAGCTGAGGCAGGAAGTCTTGACAGCTTAGTAAGACTCTTGATCAAAATGAAAAAATAAAAAGGGCTGGAGATGTAGTTCAGTGGCAGAGTGCCCCTGTGTTCAATCCCCAGTGCTGATAGAAAAAAAAAATAATAATCCCCTTGAAAGACATACCAACTGCTATTTAATTAAACAAAAGCTGAATGAATGCTCCTAGATGGAATTAATGGATTCCTCATCTATGAAGCCAGAACACTCAGCTTTTCAAGTCAGTTGAGTCAGCTATTTAGTAGATACATATCAAGCCTTTATTCTGACACTTTACAAAGCATTGCTAGGGTAGACTTTATCATATTCTATGTATATAAACAACTAGTTACAGTCATAACTATGTATATATACAAATAGATTGTGGTCTACATGGACTTGGAGCTGAGTCTCATTCATCTTTATATATTGCTAGGGCCTAACTCAAGCTGCCACATAGTAAATTTTGTGAGGTTGGATTAAACAAAATTCACAAAAATGCCAACTTGGAGATGTTAATAGTTCTTTATATTTTATTCTAGAATGAAATAATTAAATGTTGCTCTCACAGCACATTTATACCTATTACCTTTATATTACTCCACGAGCCACCATAAACACAGGCTTTGAACACTGAAAATACCATACTATTATGTTCTTAGCAAGGGATAATTTAACTCTGGAATTTATAAAGATTTTCTAAAGTCTTCTATAAGAAAAAAAAAAAGTCATGAAATAAATTTTTCTTCTTCAAGCTCTGGACAATTTGAAGTATTTAACGGACAGGAGAAACATTCAACAATATACTATTGAAGAAGTACTTTATTCTTGACCTTAAGTATGAATAATTTTATGTTCTCAGGTATAAAATTCACAATTCTTATATTTTATCTCAGCTAGTGTAAACTGTAGGTGCTTTTCTTATTTATAAAACTGTCTTATCCTTTATTAAAAAAGTCCTTAAGCTATTTTCATATAGTGATTATTCTGAAGAAAATTTGCTTTACACTTAAAAGGGGGCCACAGTGTTGATCAGGACGAAAACTATAATTGCTTGCGATCCACCTGCAATGATTTCAAGTAGGCAGGCACATCTCCAATTTCTCTGAATTGTACTAAGATCTTATTTTCTGTTCTTGCTAATCTGTCTTTATTTTTCCTTTGCCCAGAACAATAACATTTATTTTTGCCTGGCCTCATTTATGCACAGATATTCAATTTAATTACAAAGATAATCTCATCGGTGACAGGGAAATAGGTATAGAAAATTGGTCTTTTGGATGAGGCACAGCTGCTACAGAAATAATTTTAGAAAAGCTTAAGATTTTAGTAAAGCTATTATATGAAAAGAATGCTTACTGTTTATTTATTTCAAGAAAATGATAAAGATTAAATGTGACCATTCCACTGGGTAATATTCCTTCCACAGGATTCCACCGGTTCCCAGGAAAATGAACACCTGGTAAATGCTTTGCCATTTTCGGTAAATACCACTCATAAGTCATCATCTGCCAGAAAAATAACATATGATGCCATACTTTTAGTACATCTCTTTAAAAGAACCAAGTTTAGCCAATGAAAAGTTTCTAAAATGTGAATATACTATCATTCAATAATTGAAAAATACATTTAGGAATAATCAAGGGTATAGCTACAATTTTAAAAATGACATAAACCTTTGATTTTTAGGCCTTAAGACATGACTATAACAGGTAACATCAATGCTCAGTTTTATTTTCAATTCCATGCATTTTGTTTTGTGGGCCTGGGAGTTGAACCCAGTGGTGTTCTCTCACGGAGCTACATTCTCAATTCTTTTTATTTTGATTTTGAGACAGAGTCTCACTAAGTTGCTCAGGCTAGTCTTAAACTTGTGATCCTCCTCCTACCTCAGCCTCCTGAGGAGCTGGGATTACAGGTGTGAGCCACTGTGCCCTTCTAACCTCCATGTGTTTGATGACCCAGGTGGCTTATCCCCATTTTTATTCTACCTAAAGAATGTGTACTCAGCTTTCAGAACCAGTATAATTATCACTTCCTCTGTGATGCCCTCCCCAGTCTCCACAGCCAGAATGACATGCAGAGGTAGCACTTTGTACCTACCTCTAGTACAGCTCTAGGCCTATTCCTCACTAGACTGTGAGCTCCTAGGGGAAGGGACTGTATCTTTTCACTTTTGTACACCTAGCACATTGCCTGGCACAGAACAGTTCTCAAATTACGCTTGCTGAAGTTGAAATTTCTTTGATGGTCAGACTAGACAACCTATACAAAATACAGAAATGTATCATTACTCCATTCTTTCATTCATCCATTCAAAAAAATAAGTATTGCTCACCTACAATAAATAAGATATAATCCCTGCCCTTGAAAAGCTCAATCATATGATAATCTAGGTCTCAAAGGGTTTTTAACCCTTTTGGCTGAATTTATTAGTATACAGAAATTAGTGTCAATACTTTAATGTTGTTTCGATTAAAATGAATTATTAATATTAGAAAAGTCACTTTTATTAATTGTATAATTAATGTATAGTTAATTATATACTTTCATATGTTAGAGACCCTCTTTTTAAAGAAAAGATTCCTATTTGCACTTTCAAAGTTTTGTTTTTATATTAACATCTGAGCAACTGTGCTTATGCTTACTTAGATCATGTAAGTCATTTAACATGAAAATGACAAATTACTTTTTTTTTTTTTTTGGTACTGGGGATTGAACTCAGGGGCACTTAACCACTGAGCCACATCCCCAGTCCTATTTTTATTTTATTTAGAGAAAAGGTCTCACTGAGTGGCTTAACTCCTCACCATTGCTGAGGCTGGCTTTGAACTCGAGATCCTCCTGTCTCAACTGTCTCAGCCACCGGAGCTGCTGGGATTACAGGTGTGCGCCACCGGGCCTGGTGACAAATTACTTTTAATCTAAGTGAACACTATAAAACTCAACAAATAATGGATTGGAATTTTTTGCTCAAGGCTTTCAGTTTTAGATAATGCTAACATTAACCAAATACCCTATTTGCATTATGACCTTCATGCTTCTTATTTAATTTCCACAATAACCTTCTTTTACAGAAACAATTGCATCAGACCCTGTTGATTGCACATTTAACAGCTATTGTTTTCTTGCTTGCTAAAGTAACTTTGATTTTGGTCAGGTATCTCAGTCATTCACTTTACTAATGAATATTTCAGGAGTGGGCATACGAGCCAGCTCAGGTGGAGGTCTGCTGGGAATTTCTAAGGCCCTGGAAAACTTCCAATAGAGAGGAGGGGGACAGGCCCAAACAGAAGTACCTTGCTTTGTTTTAGGTTGTGATGTTTGGAACCATGCATCCATGCCCCAGAATTCTGACATCATTGAGCTTCTTCTATCATCAATCCTAAAATCACCTAAGACTACTTGTTATGTGAAATACAAACTCCATAGTTTAAGTTACTCTAAGGCATTCTTTTTTCGTGCATTCAAAAGATCCTAGCTTATATAATAATAACTTCTATTTCATGCATAAGGGAAGAGAAGCTTTGAGAAGAAAATTATTAGCCCCTGTCACATCTAGGAAATGATAGAATGAAAGCCTGAATTTATGTCTTATACTCTTTGAAATCCATACTTCTTAACTATAGCAGCTGATATCTCAAACAGTATTCACACATTCACACACATGCACATGCACACACAAGTGCTAGGAATTGAACTCAGGACCTCATACATGCTAAGCAGCACTTTACTGGGCTACAATATTTGAAATCACAGCATAATAATATCATGTTATCAAAAAATAATCTACCACATTATTAATGAAAAACCTAGCTTTTGTCAGAAGCTAGACTTGAGTTAGACTTAAGATTAAATTCATCAATATGTGTGTTAACATAAATGCAAAGTGCTTATAAAATATTTATAATCTGCAAATTTCCCTACAGAGTATTTGCAAATGTGTTGTTTTTCTCCAAAAATTCTAATTATTCTCTACTTCAACACAATTTATTAAAAGTATTGTGCCTAATAATTGTTCTATTGAACAATCATAATTATTCATTTGAGATTAAAAATTTCACTTTTCTTGATGACTACTCTAAAAGCACCATATTTGTTTCCTTTTAGATAATTATGGTCTAAATAATAAATATTGTAGGAGTTTTTAAAAGTATTTTTTAGATTCCTAATTATAGATGGATACAATACTTTTATTTTACTTATTTATTTTTATGTGGTATTGAGGATTGAATCCAGAGCCTCATACATGTTAGGCAAGTGCTCTGTCAAGGAGCTACAACTCCAGCCCCAAATGTTGTATTTTAAATATAGTTCTTCATTTCCAGAAAATTGTTTTGATTGCCATCAAAATTTTTACAAGTCCCCTCCTAACATGTTTTTGTCCTAGGATCAGCAAAGATTATGCAAAATTTCCATAGCAGAGTTGTAGTTAATAGTTTTTATTTTGAGAAATTATTTGAGTTCACAACTCTGATGATCAAGTAGCTATTTTAACCACAGTATGATTTATTTTATATTCAATTTAATTTATTTTAATCCCTAGACCAGTAGACAGTATTACTTTAAATGGCTGAGTTGGCTAAATGAAAAAAAACAACTTAACAATACATTTACAGTACAATAAACATTTTCATGGTTTATTATGTGAACTGGAGACCTAGCATATTATTTGAATCTAACATGAAATACGTAATTCTTAAAACATTCAGGTTAAATGAGAAAGAAGTAACTCAAACAATTTATACTAACAATTAAAATAAACAAAAAAATGTGATATATAATCTACCTAAGAATGATTATAATCACTGTATCTATTTGGTATTTTAAAAATGATAATAAATGTTTTAAAATGATTGATAAATTCCAAATACATTTTACATATACTTACTTCCTGATCCACTAATGAAATATCTGGCCTCAATCCTTCGCAGTAATGCATATAACGGAGAGAATTGCCTGGCAAATCGCCTCTAAGTAAGATAATTGCATCATGTGGCATAGAATCTAGAAGGTTCTTTGCAAATTTATCGATCACAGTGTTGGTCCTTTGGTCACAAATGCTAAATAAAAAGATCAAAAATGTTAAAATAGCAATACTTTGCTATAATTTTAATAACATTGGGTTTATTTTCCACACCATTCTTTTCCTATCACAAATCTACATTTATTGTTTCAAACTATTTAATTTATATCCTATGAGAATTTGCATAATTAAAAAACACTATCATTTGATTAAAAAAAGGACCCAATTGTGCAACTGAAAAAACACTCATCTACTACTTTACTTCTAGAATTTATAATCATTTCCATAAAAAGGGAATCAGTTAGTGCTCAAGAATAAGTCTTTTTCTTCCTAAAAGTAATCCGATTTCATATAACAAAAGTAAGGTTTCTGATTCCACTTGGAATTTAAGGTAATTTATGTTAATTTCATTTATGCCAAAGGAACTTTCAGAAATGCAAAAGGAAATCTGCCAATTTATGACATATATTTATAAGACATTTGTATGATTTTCTTGCATGCAGAGGTTGTTCCTTCCCACCATTTCCCTGTACCCCAGGCTTCCTGTGTTCCTTTCTCCACTGGAAGGTGAAAAATTACCACTGGAGAATAAGACCAAAGAGAAGGAGGGGAAGGAATAGTCTGTTGAGTTGTCTACTTTTCTCCTGACACTATTTGTTCTTGCCAAGAACAGCAGTACAGTTCTTTTCAAGAATGAAGTAGACTTTCTAACTTCAAAGAAAAAGTACATGAATTTTGAGAACTTTCCATGAAAAGAGAGAAAGACTACAAGGCGCGGGGGAAACATCAAAAGATGAGGCAAGCAATATCTTTCCTCTTATTATCAGGTCTATTACATTTTATGGAGCTTAGAAGCAATGCCTCAAGCTGAATCACAAGGTTAGTATCAAAAAGCAAACAAACCTTTCAAGGAACGGAATATTATCCCTGCCTCTGCAATCAGTGCAACAATTACTATTTCCTACTATGATTCCCTACTTTGCCAGGTGATGGCTCATACTTTGTCAACCAGAAAAGTTGCTATCTATTTCATTCCCTTGGGTAAATAAAAAAATCAAAACAAAATAAACCACCTAACCTGTGCAAACATCTCTGGTGCTGACCCTGGAATGCTCTTAATGACCCAAGCCAGGAGAAAATTGGAATTAAAAAACACTGGAGGCTGGTGAGCCCTCCTTGAGCTAGTGATGGAGCTATGTCTGGGTCATGCAGCCCCTTCCCAAGATGTCCTGAAGATGAAATGTTCCTAGCACAGGCTCTACCTGGGATTATAAAGAACATTGGTTTTGAAAGTTAAGTTAAAAGAGGAAATTTAACCTTTTTTGTAGGGGGGGGGTACTGGGTATTGAATAATTCAATGGGTGTTTTACCACTGATTTATAATCCCCACTCCTTTTTATTTTTAAATTTGAGACAGGGTCTCACTAAGATGTGTAGGGCCTTGCTAAATTGTTGAGGCTAACCTTAAACTTGCAATCCTCCTGTCTTAGACTCCCCAGTCACTGGAATCAAAGGCATGCACCACCGTACCCAGAAGAAAACCGAATCCTTTAAATACAGTCAAATCTCACTATAACAAAATGCCAAGGGACTCTTTCTTCCACTTTTGTAATGTATCTAATACTGCTGGAAATAAATTAATTATCATCTAAGACTTTGACATCTTTTATGTTATACCAAGATCATTATAATCATTATTAAAAAGATATTGAAAAAAAAAATATATATATACAATACTAATAATACATGAGTTAAAAACTTTCAGAAATTGATTTAAAAATAATTAATATTTTCTAATATAAAGTTGACTGGTACAGGGCCAGTTATAATTCAAAAGAAAAAATCTTTGAAACATAAAGTAAATTATTTTAGGGTATACAAAAAGCCCCAAATCTCTTTATTCTCCACTTAAGTGGTATTTTAGATCATGTAATTTTATACATACTCCAGATTCTACAAACAATCTCTGGTTCTGATTCAAAAAGCTTATTAACCCCAAAACATAAAATCTATTGCATTCAGACCAAGCTGCCTCACTTTGAATCTTAGAAACCAATAGAAGTTAAAAATAAATGCAAAATAGAATGTCCTAGAATGTAAAATATTCAAAATTCTCTGGCTCAAGTGCTACTTTTCATAAAAATAGCCATGGGTTACCTATAATTAGAATATATTTGGAAAACTACAAAAAGAGTTGCTGAAAGCCATTCCAGACACTGAAGCCCGTTGCTATTCAGCACTTGGTTAGTCTTAGACACAAGTGAAGCCAAACCGATGCCAGCGAGGACGGCTACCACTGCATTGCTTTGCATCCAAAATCGTTCCACCTGTGAAAGATAGGCAAACAGTAGGTCCACTTGACTAGTTCATACAATCAGTCAGGTACCTAAATATTTAAAAAATTTATACTGCTTACAACTAGTTGTATTTGCATCCTGTCATTTAGATCTTGTTAACTGACTTCCCCAATCCAACCTGAGGTCACTTTAATTTTCAATTTAGAACAGTTCTTCCTTCCCAGTTTGACATGTGTATCTCCCTTTTGGGATTCACACTTCATCTTAATACTGAACTCCAGTGATTATCTAGAGTGGGAGAGGTAGAGAAATGCTTTTGCTTTTCTCCTAATATTCCCTTCCTTATGCATAAGCTATATGAGTATAATAATCCTGGCCTCTCTCCTTACCCTCCCTTCTTCCTATAGGAGGGTAGGAACTGAATTGATGGGGAGCTGAAACTGTTATTGGGACAACACAGTCCTGTGTTTTCCTCTCCCTCTTGGAAGTGAGCTGCCAAGAAGCACTTGTCCAGGACAGTCTATCTCTGTGCACAGTGGGTAGGAGTGAGGTGGGGTGAGGCCTGCCCCATAGTCACAGCACTACCTGTCCCCTCTGGCAGGATAAGGAAGTCCTCTTGTCCACACTTAGAAGTCACATTCTCCAATCTCAGCATTATCAGTAATAAATGTGATTCTCCTAACCGTTTACACTAATTTATTTTGTTCCCAAGTCTGATGATCAAGTAGGCTATTTTTTATTAGGCATCTTAAGTACATACACAAATGACTAGTTGGTTTCAGCTATCAAAAAAAGCTGTCCAAATTTATAGAGTTTCTATTATAAGAATAAATACCCTAATCTCAGAGATGGCTGACAGGAAAACAGAAACATAGGTGCTCTTTTTACAGGCCTAGAACTTCCACGTAAGAAGTAAAGGGATATGTTGGCAACAGCCCCTCGTTATAACCCATATTTATTTTGCTATTCTAAAAAGTATTCTAGATGAAATGCATATATTTGTAAGTGTATACACATATACACACATACACACGCACACACACAACTAACCTAAGTCTACCTTAGATTTATTTTCCTATTTAACTACTCTATTAACAAAACATAGCATTTTTTTTTTCCTAAAAAGAGACCGTAATCTTAATGGCTCAATAATTTAACTTTTGATTTGTAAAAATGTATATATAATTTTTATTATTCCTTAAATAATTCATTCTTTTATAAAGTTCATAAGAGACATGTTTGCACAATCTTCATAAACTTTCTGATTAAAGGATGTATCTAAGTAAAACTTACCACACCCATGAACAGTGGTTTTGAAATATCTAAATTTGCCCTCCAAGCGAAGAACAATGAATAAATGCAAAACATTCCAGTAAAAAGCCACACTAATGGTGAATTCTGTCTCTCCCTACAAAACGAATAAAAATATGTCCAAAATTATCTATATGTATGAATATCAATAATAACATTAAATAGCTTTAAACTATAGAAAAATATTTGTAACTATAAACCTTTTTTTTTTTATTTTTTAAATTTTTTTGGCAGTACTAGGGATTGTATCCAGGAGCACTCTATCACAAAACTAAACTGCAAACCCTTTTATTTTGAGCCAGTTCTCCCTAAATTGTTCAGGCTGGCCTTGAACTTATGAATCTCCTGCCTCATATCAACTGCTGGGATTACAGGCATGCACCACCACACCCAAATAAAACTTTCATTTTTAAGAAGAAAGAAAGTCATCAGTGTTGAAATCTGAGTTGGAATAGACAACCAACATAACTTGAAATAATAATTTTCTATAATTGCAATTTAAGTTTATTCAAATTGAATGTTGTAGACAATAGAATCATGCAGCAAAGGATATTCACAGAAAAATATCAACTATTGATCTTATTAAATTTAAGAAGTAATCAAGCATATGCAAAATATAGCATATTTTCATGCCTGAAATAATATATCAATGTTGGTGAGAATTTAGTATGAGAATGTTAGTATAATCCTTGAGAAAAATTAACTACATAATATCTCTATCAAGAGCTTTAAAAATACTTATAATCACTGACTTTGTGTCAAAATAACTGAGTATTTGACATTCAGGCATAAATCTTTAAGCAAAAACCACAAATGTGCATAAACAACCCATAAAAATGCTTTAGTATTAGTGTCATAATAGAGGGAAAAAATGGAAGCAATAAAATAACACTCAAATGGGAAATTTAATTCTCCTTTGGTCATAGGATGGAATGTATTATGTAGACACTTAAATGACCTTAAGTATTTTTTGGTATGGAAAAATATTAACAATATAATGTTACATTAAGCAAATAAAACCATAAATATAGATGTACATATATATACTGACTTATATACAAATACACATGTTCAACAGACAAGAAAATAAATTAATAAAAAATTAATAAAGATTAGCAGTGCTATATTTTTAGGGCTTTCATTTATTATCAGGGGAATTTAAATAGTTGTTTGTGCTTAATGTATTGATGTATGCCTGAAGTTGCTCAGGAGGCAGACAGCCTGGCCAACACAGTGAAACCCTATATATAAATTTAAAAAATTTTAAAAGGGCTGCAGATATAGTTCAGTGGCAGAGGGCAGGGGTTTAATGCCTAATACTATAAAAATAAATAAATAAATAGTTGTTTGCTTCTTTTGCATAAACAGTAATCATTAGTACACGCAGAGTAAGATCAAACCAGAAGTTTAAAATATCACATGACTTGCCTATTTTAGCTGCAATAAACTGATAAGGTTTTTGAAATAATTGATCTATAATTGAAGATAAAATAAGGTAGCAGGAAAGCAAAACATATTTGCCTTAACAGAAGGCAAGAACAGTCATTTATTTGAAACATAAAATAATACCAGTAATGTTCTGCAATGACATATTAAAACATTGGCTCACTTCATGAACAAAGGAAAAATAAGGAATTACATTACTCACTTTCTTGCTAGACATATATTTGCCCAAACTGCAAGGGCTTGAATGTTGTACGATAGTTCGGTCCTCATATTTATTACTTGTGAACTGTAAAAAACAAAATAACTTATTGTTGTCAGAAAAAAAATGACTAATTTCAAATAAAATATCATTTGCAGAATAAATGTTTGATCATGCACTGAACAAAACTGGAGTCAGATTTTAAAATTATTTTGTCTCCTTTTAAATTTGGGAGAAAAAGTATCAGAGAGAGAAATAAATAGTTCTAAGATGTTTTCCGATTGTAATATTTGGTTATCAACATATATAAATCAGAGTAGGATCAGAATACAAAATTGTTCTACATTTTTTATTTTGTTATACTACATAGGATATTCCTGATTGATTGATAAGTTGTTTGAAAGGAGTTTTTGAACTTTCTTTGTTGATGATGTACACATGGTCACCAGTAATTTAGTAATTGAAAGCAAAATTAGCTCAAATACTTCTCTGGAGATACAATCACAAAGAAAGAAAAGGCCAAGGGTTATTTTCTTCCTTAAAAGAATTCCTGATTTTCTAAATTTCTGGCCTTGGAAAATGTCCAAGCAAGCTCAAAGAAATGTATTTTTTTTCTCCTACAATTAAACTAAATTTTTCCATTAACTAATAAGTATTCCTCAAATGTTATCTGAGTTCTAAAATAGCTATTGCTTGTAGCAGTCTTTGATTTCTAAAAAAAAAATGACTCTATACACCAGTTCAAGAAACTTTTTTACCCCTACTGGCAAATTTACTGGAGAAAATGTGATGCCATAATTATGAAAAGCACACAATGTGTATTTTACTAATGGAGACTCATCTACTCAGAGAAGTTATCCTAACTCATTTGCAAATATACTTGAAAAATTGATTCCAGCATGGGACCCATTTCTTCAAAAGAAATGGAGTCAGTCTCAAAATTAATTCTTAGAGATCTGTTGCTTAAATGTAAGCTCTAAAAGATGGCCACTGCCTAAGGTTAGATTCAATAATTTTCTTATACAGGATTGCAATTTAGAGATATGCATGGGGAAAGAATTTAATTTGCTTGTCTGGAAAAGGGTAGATGATTAGGTTCCATCATTTTGAAGGATTTTTCTCGTAACTTAATTATAAGTTTCTTTTCTTAACACTCCTGTCCACCTGAAACAATTAAAGACTAGAATTTCCCTCACTTAGACATTGCTAGGATTATGCCTCCATTCTACATGATGATTTGATTTGAACAAACAGGGCAGGTGTGAGTGGTCATCACTTTTGTCTAGTTTTTTTTTTTTTCCTCTCCTAGCCATAAAACCTAGCAGGTATGACTAGAATATAAAGGAGGCCTTTAAGTTCCCAGTAGATAATCTTATGTGCAACTAATAAAAGTTGGATGTATAATCTAGGATTACTCTTGAGAGTTCTTTGGAGGTTCATGTAGAATTTGCTAAACTAAAATGTAACAGTAAGCCTAAGTGCTAGAACAACCTCTGGAAGGTAGGTAGAAAGGAACAGGCAGTGAGTCTTTCTATATAGAGTTCATTAGAATACGGCAAAGTTCAGAGTCCCTGAAAAAGCTCTTTATCTTTAAAAACAGAGCTTCTTGCTACCTTCTCCCCACCAAAAAAGCAAGAGGAGCTGCAAAAGTCTGAGTCAGACATAAGAGGAAATATTTAAAATCAGTTGTGAAAACTATCAAAAGGTCATATTTAAAAAATGATGGCAGGGAAAGATTTTCAAGATAAGGTAAAAGTGAAAAACAAAAGACTAATAAAACATTATGTACATTATCCCATTTTAAACAAACACAAATATGAAAATGATCAGAAGGATATAGACAAAAATGTTAACAGATTAATGATAGCAGTTATATTGGAATGACAGGTAATTTTAATTTTCTTATTTTTGCTTACTTGTATTTTCTAATTACAAGAAAATTTATTAAAATTTTAATTTTATTTATTAAATTACAACAATAATTTTCTATGTATCTTGGAGTTGGAAAAAAAGTTGGTTAAAAAGAAAAAAAGGATGATTGGAAGGAAGCAAGTTAGTAAATAAACAAGAAAGAAATTTTAAGAAGCTGATGAACTGCATATATTTCTATATGATGAACTGCATCATATAGAAAGTTGATCTAGTCTCCACATGGTTTGTTTCAGTTTTTTCCAAATGGTCATGTAAGTTCCAAACTAGAAATTAGTTAGATCACTTTTGTGTTCTAGAAACCTACTTTATTCTGAAATTTATAAATCAGTACAATTGGTATGGATATTTTTTAAGTTGGTATGAATATTTTTCAAGTTGTCTTAATCTGTGTAAATTTTAAGCAAATATTAACCCATTTTTCAAGGAACATTATTGGATAATGTAGATGAAAATATACTTGCTTAAGCTGGTTCTAATAAGGTTGGATATTAAAAATATGTAAGTCAAAATAGAGCTTAGGATGAGGACAGGCAAAAAAAAAAGTCAAAAGATAATTTAAAAAAATGAAGCTCTGAAGAATTAAATAAGCATAGGTCCAACCAAAAATACAAGAAAGTAATTGTTCAAATCATGCTACACACTATGTTATAAAATGTCTCCAAAAGAAAGGCAATATAAAAATCAGAACAAAGAGCAAAATTATTTATAAAGCAACACTATGTTGGGAAATTTTGTACCCAATTGAAAGATGAAACATTTTAGTTTTGGGGGCTCGCATTACTCTCCCAATATTCTTATTCATTGTTGTATTTACTGCTCACTTAAACATTATCTCATTGAGGGAAAGGCTAGACCCCTGGACAACTCCATATTTACAAATAACTATTAACTGTACAGGTGAAAACTTTCTCAGACACACTTCTTTACAAAGACAGGGACTTGGAAATCCCTAAAAATCATCTTGAAAAACGAATAGCAAATTCATTTACAAATGGTTTTAAATATTTATACTTACACCAGTATTTCAGACATACTGGATCCTATTTCAGATTTGGCCTAAACACAAAAAAGAAAAGGTTATTTGTACATATATTAAATTGAGGCCTTGGCAGGTTATTATGTTATAATGATTTTGATTCATTATAATATAATATCATGTTTTAAATATACAATGCAACAGTCTTTACTTCAGAGCCTGTTAAATTTTGAATGTAGTGAAAACTAAACTTGGATATGTTTAGGAAAAATTAATAATTGGCTAAAAATCACTGAAATATCAGCAGGAATGATTAATACATTAATGAGTTAGTGGACTTATTTAAACTTTTGTTATAGCCTCTCTTTACGCTCTTTTGAGGATTTTTTTTTTTTTTTAGTGCTGGCGATTGAACCCAGAGACTCACACATGCCAGGAAAGCACTCTACCACTGAGTCACATCCCTAGTCCTCTTTTGGAGAATTTTGATTGAAGTTTATTATAACCTGTTCAAAATTTCACAATTATGTGTGAATGATAGAAATTTCAAATATGGAAGAGCCATCAATCTGTATTTAATGCATTAACCAATATAAGTAAATCAGAATATAAAGTATCACACTTTGAAGTGAAAATAATAAATAACAATTACCTTTTACTAATCTATTTTATTATGAAATATCTATGTAAGATAAATATAATATCTAACATCTATCTACAAAAGTATACATAATGTATATTTTAGGGACAAAGAATTTTTTAAAAAATCTACAGACTCACCATTCATTTGATGAATAAAACCTCATCAATACCATAATTTATCTTACAAAGTCCTCACAGGCCTCTCCTTCCTTACCCTTTTGAATTTCTTTGGAGAGAACTGTTTCCATTTGGTGAACTAATATTTTACAAAGCATTTATAAATAGGCCTTCAATTTTAAAAAGTAAATACTAAGGGTTGGGGCTGTGGCTCGATGGTAGAGCACTTGCCTTGCATGTGTGAGGCACTGGGTTTGATCCTCAGCATCACATAAAAATAAATAATATATTGTGTCTATCTACAATTAAAAAAAATGTTTCTTAAAAAATAAATACTAACATGAACACTGTTAATCAAATATGTTACTTCAAAAAGGAAATGCTTTGATAAAGGTGAATTAAAATTGTTAAGTTTCCTTTCCTTCACGTTTTTCCAAATATTTTTATTCACAGATTTTTATTCACAATGGTACCCAAGACTGCAGGCAGTCTTCAACAGTGGGCAATAGGTTTCCTTTAATGCATATCATCCTGAAAAGTATATTAGGGATATACAACAGCTTGCTGTTGGATGAAGTGATTCTGATTTTTTTTCTAACATTCCAAGGGACAAATTTGTTATATTACTAACTAAAATGGAAATTCTATCTACTGCCATTGATAGACATTGACTGCTCTTTCAATCAACAATGAAGTTGATTGAACAATGGAATATAACCACCTGTTTCCTCACAAGGGCTTGAAATGTAAGTTTACCAGGCTGAATGTTCCATATTCTTCCCTGAGAAAATGTGTCAGAAATCCTCGCAGTGTTGTCTGGTCTCCCCAAGTCCAGCGAGCATGATTGAGGTAGGATGAGATGGGAAGGTAGATATAGGGCAGCAAACCAGCAGAGAAACACAGACTCAAATTCAACAAAAAGCCCAGTGATAGCTCCTGCATTAAAGCACATTGTGTTGTTTAACAGTGTTTATTTTAGTTGATTCATCCTGGAACTTCAAGAACACATCAAGGAAAACATCAAATATGTTTGCTCAGAGCTGATCTCTCAATTTATATTAAGTCACCACAGAATACTATGTTAAACCTTCTGATTACTGTGGATTACTAGAAAATTGCATCAGCCTGAACTCCTTTACATGGCAGGTGAAATCTGAGTGAAGCAAATAACATTAGCAAAACTCATAAGTATCATGTTTATTGTATCTTCTACACTTAAAACCATGTCATGACATGTACACTGCACAGCTGAGATCACCCACTTAGAAGTGATCAAGTGTTATTTGGCTGATTTTGAATAGGCTCAAAATACTGAATTGGTATTATACCAATTTACATCATGGTCATCATTAGAAGTTGACTTCAAGTATATACTTTATTATGAATGTACATGGATAATAAATTCTTCCTACAAGGGCCTTGAACATTTCATGGAAATTTTTCACACAAATAAAATTAGCTCTTATATAATCTTCAGGTTCACCCAAATGCTTTTTTTCCTCCTCAATTTATATTTAGGATAGAATACTAAAAGAAATTTGTTGTTATATGCAAACTGTTATCTCATATACCTATTTGGGAAAATATATTTCTTATCTATACACTTCAATAATGAAAGACAGTATCAACAAAGTTTTATAAAGATTAAGTCCAAAAGAATAAATTTAAGTATGCCAGAAAGATTAAAAATATTGGTTAACTGGGGAAGGGGGTCTCTTACAAACATCATAACTAGAAATTGCTAACTTTTCCTTTTCGAAAATGAGAAATTCATCTCTGAGAATGAATGTAAGAAAGAAAGTTCACATTAACCAGAAGCAGAACAGGGAATTGGCTTGTATTAGCATTTTCAAATAAACATTCTTAATTGAAAATGAAGTGTTTTCATTATAGTACTGATTTCATTTGAGATTTCTATAGCAGTAATGAGATGCTTTTAAAAACTTACAAATATCTAATCAAACAACTATGCCTTTGCTTTGCTATTCTTAAAAGTGGTTTAAGGAAAGTAAATGTTTATGTTTTGGCACTTTTTGTACATTATAAAGTTGAATTTAGAATGGTAAGATGTAATTGTTGCAGAATTTTCCTTTTGCATAAGGAATAAATAGGAAACAATTACATGAAAGCTATTATAGTCTGGAGAGCAATTTTTAGTCTTAGCTGCACATTGAAATAATCTGGGTAGTGTCTAGACCCCACCCCAGATCAATTATAACAAAATAATTTGGATAAGGTTTCAGGATAAATACACATATATACATGTATATATGTATATAAAAATGCACATGCATCTGTACTACATTGTTATATATGTGTGTATGTATGTGCACACACACACACATTTTTTAAAAGCTTCCTAGCTAAATGAGCAGTCAGGGTTGACACCAACTGACTTAAGAATCCTTGCTCTGTTTCAAATCCCCTTAAAGTGAGATCCAACAACCCCTGCACTTCATAGACCTTATTTTCTAGCCTAAAGAATGGAAATGAGCCAGGTGCAGAGGCAGCTACCTGTAATCTCAGCTACTTGGGAGGCTGAGGCAGGTAGATAGCATGTTCAAGGCCATCCTAGGCAATTTAGCAAGACCCTGTCTAAAAATAAAATAAGAAGGGCTGGAGATATAGCTCAGTGGTAGAGTACCCCTGGGCTCAATCCCTAGTACCATAAATGAATGAACAAGAAGAGGTATGTTAAAGAGTCATGGTTCTCCAAACTTCATCATTCATCAGTAGCTCACCTCATTCTAGGGTAAACAGGCCCTTAGTCCAGTCTCCTAAATTGTCGACTCCGAATCCTGCAAGTTTTATATGAAGTACATGGCTCTCCTTTCAATCAACTCTTGGTCCTTTCCAGAGAATGCACCTATCCTGGGTCTGCTCAGGTCAAGCTATATCTCTGGCTAAGATGACTGATATCAAATGGGCTATGCTTAGAGAGGGCTATATTGTCTGTTGACCCCCAACTGTGCATCCATTGAGAAAAATATTTGGACTTCCTCAGTTTTGTATTCCATAGGAAATTTTGGCTGAGTTATACTTTTTAATGTTATATACCCATTTTTTAAAAATTAAGGGTATGTACCCAAAGGACTTAAAATCAGCATACTATAGTAACACAGCCACATCAATATTTGTAGCAGCTAAATTCACAATAGTTAAACTGTAGCAGCAACCTAGATGCTTTATAATAGATGAATGGATAAAGGAACTGTGATATATATACACAATGGAATATTACTCAGCGCTAAAAGAGAATAAAATCATGGCATTTGCAAGTAAAGGGATAGCACTGGAGAATATCATGCTAAGCAAAGTAAGCCAATCCCAAAAAACCAAAGGCGGAATGGTCTCTGATAAGTGGATGCTGATCCATAATGGGCAGGGCGGGGAGGCATGGAAAATATGGAGGAATTTTGATGGGGCAAAGGGGAGGGAGGAGAGGGGAGGGGGTATGGGGGTGCGAAAGATGGTGTAATGAGATGGACATCATTACCCTAGGTACATGTATGACAGCACATATGGTGTACACTACATCATGTATAACCAGAGAAACAAAAAGTTGTGCTGCAATTGTGTACAATTAATCAAAATGCATTCTGCTGTTATATATACCTAATTAAAATAAATTAATTTTATAAATAAATTTAATTATAAAAATAAATTTAATTTAAAAAAAATCAAGGATATGTATTATAAAAGGTCACATGAAGAACTTTCTGAATATTCTATGAAATTTGGATACTGCTAACTGTTATGACTGAAATGTGAGACTGAAATGATTGACTTCATAGAATTCGAGTCCAAGAAAAGTTGCTCTTTCCTGTCAACTGTTTTTTCCTGTTTCCCTTTTATTTGCTTTTTAATCACATAATCAGAATTTTATAATTTCCACATTACCTTTTTGTTTTGTTGCCAAGATGCTAAGAAACTAAATGTGTTCAAGAATAGTTAATATAATTATCTAAAGCTCTAGTATAATTGTTTACCTATTACTATATAATAATTTTATTACTTGTATGTTTTCTATTATAATTCTGATTATAATTGTTATAATGAGCAAATAATAAAATGACAAACGTAGCTGAATTTGTTCATAAACAAACAAACAAAAACTAAATAAATTAAAATGACCTAGCTGGCACTGGCTTTGCATATAGACTAAAAGAAAGTCTGACTGATAAAGGACATTTATTCTTTCAAGAGTTCATGTCTAACTCAACTCCCTGCCTTTTCCTTACCTAAATCTCCTATTGCCCAACAAAGTAATTTTCCTATATTGCTATTTACTGCCATTTTAATTAACAAAAAAGTTTTCTTTCATAGAAAGATGAAATAAAAATAAATCATTTTTTTTAATTCTAGAGAAATATCCTGAGAAAATAGGACTGTTATTTATCAGAGATTTTAATGAGTTCATACTACAGGGATATTGTCTGTTTGTTGAGAGCTAAATCTCCACACTTAGAGCAAGGATACAGCATAGAGCAAGCACTCAACAAACAGTTAAATATGAATGAATGACTACTATACCACTCTGTGTCCTAGAATGTATAATAAAACTATTAAGGAAAATTAGTATTATTGCTTTAAAGTCCTTTTAACCTATTTTCAGAATCATGAAGAAAATTATGAAATAGGCCAGATGCCACTGCAATCAATATTACATTATTTTTGTAAATCCTTTTTTTTCCAGTCAATATTGTTAGGGCTTAAGGTTATTTATGCTTTACACAAAACCCAAGAAAAATTAAAGCCCCAAGTTTTCTGATGAAACAAATGCTATATTGAATCTAAACAAAATGTTATTAATTTTATTTTTATAAATTACAAAACCTACCTTCTCTTTTAAAAGTCGAAAGAGAATCCAAGGTATTATGCATAAAACATAGAGGACTATTGTGTGCTGATTACATAAGCTAAGGCCACAGCAGAAAGCACCGATTTTAGCTATCTGAAAACAAACAGGAAAAAAAAAAGAAAGAAAGAAAGAAACAAAAACACCTAAGTTAAAAATTCACCTAAAACTCTAAGTAAGCACAATGGTAAAAAGCCATTCTTACCACTAAACCAAACATCATAGGCCAGGTTAATATCAATCTGTTAGATGTAAGCAATTATAACAGTCACTAGTATTTATCATCATTTTTTAAATTTTTTTAGTTGTAAACAGACAATATCTTTATTTTATTTATTTATTTTTATGTGGTACTGAAGATTGAACCCAGTGCCTCACACGTACAAGACAAGCTCTCTACCACTGAGCTACAACCCCAGCCCCTATCATCATTACTTTTTGTTAATGTTGTTCATTCACATCAAACAACTGCAGTTTGATCTTAAATGACTATCTTCAAACTGACTCTTGGAGACTCCTGTACTACAACTAGTGAATCTTAACAGAGTACTATATGATTCTTACTTGAGTAAAATCTATAATTGAAGTCCAATAATTCTGTTTTACTTTTTCTCCTTCTAAATAAATAAAATGTAACATCTTTTATTTAGAAACCTATTTATATCTGGGTGGTATTTTTGCTTTTTTTGAACATGTATTCATTTACTCATTTCATATTTGATAAGTGTTCTCCTCTTCTTTTAAATTTTTATTTATTTATTTTCTGTGATGCTGGTGATTGAACCCAGGGCTTTATACATGCTAGGAAAGTACTCTACCAACTAAGCTATATCCCCAGCCCACAAGGATTTTCTTCCTGACCAAACTCTAGGCAAGCTCCTCTGAACTCTCTTCTCAACTCAGCCCTGGCTTTTAGATACTGTGTTCATCTCTGCATTGTCCAATTTTATCAAGAATACTCAGTCAGTTTAACTAGAAATCTCTACCCTGGATATTTGATCACACTGATCCAATTTCTATCCTTCACCCTCCCCCAGGTGATGTCAGATCAGCCTGGCCTGCCTTCAGCAAGAATCCCATTAGGCCAATTTAGTCTGAATCCTCCTTTACCCCTGATGTTTCCTCTCAGTAATTTTTCCGTCCACTGACACCCAGCCTGCTCCTTGGATACAAATTCTCATTATTCATTGTTATTTGGACTTGAGCCTGATCTCTCTCCCCTATTACAAAACCCTACTGAAGTGTTCCCTACCTCTGAACCTGAATAAAATCTGTTTATGCTTCTTTAACAAATATACTGAATACTTTTTCTTTAACACAATTAGAAAAATAAAATAAAACAATAGCATCACAGATCTACTTATGGGAACCACAGGTAAATAATGAAGTATTTTTGTTTCTATATCCTTTCACAACACAAAGCTGCTTATACAAAGGCAATATAGTATTTTCTGCAATGAACAGACAGTAAGCTTTTGAAGGCAGGGTTCTTTCACACTTAGAATGAGTTTAATCCTAGTATCTGTCTTAAATTCACTGCAATCTCTTTTGAACTACTCTGCTTTTACACTTGACACTCTTAATTAGAAAATTACAAATTTGATCATTTTCACAATAAGAGACTAAATTAATATACCATAATGGTATATGATGTAAGGTCAATCCAAAGCTTGGCACCTTATGGTAATCAACAAGCAAGTGTTGGTGCATGAACCAACAAACTTGCCTTTCCCAAAGCACTCACAGGGATTTCATAACCCCTTCATTCTCCAAACCACTTCTGAAGTCTGAGGGGGAAAAGTCCCATGTTTCATGAGGGCTATCATACTTCCATTCACAATAAAAGGACTGAGAATATTTTCTCTCTCAACATGCCTAGATTACCTTGACAGTAACCATAATAGATAAACAGCATCTAAACCAAAGTTAAAAAGAAATGCAGCTATCTGTCCAAAAATTAAAACAAAAAAAAAATGATTTCACTTTGATCCAAATAGGTTACCTTTGATCTCTCCTTTGCAGTTGCTGCCTCCTCAAAATGTACAGTAAGAGCCATAAGCAGCCCCACAAACAGATTGTTTAAGCTAAAAACCTCTGCTGTGATGGACCACTGCCATGTTAGACGAGAAAATGAAAACACCCCCGCAGCAAGGATTCCTCCAGCATATGAGCCAGAAAGCCTGCAAATACAGATAACATGAAATCTTCTTTCCCAACAAAAAGGACTGACTTTCTTTTCCTTTTTATAAACTGTCCCAGCAGAAAATTATGACAGTCATCCAGCACTCTCCCCACACATTATATGGTTAATACATTACTTCGTGTAATAATTTCTTTCAACAGATTTTAATTAGGAAGCCTGAACATTCACCTACTAACAAACAAATGAACAAACTTATGGATAGAATGAGATTTCTTCTAAGACACATTCTCTAGGACTCAAAGACAGTTCAGAAAACCTAAAGAAATAGCAACTAGGGCTGAACCTGTGTCATTTTCTTGCTTTATCCACAAAGAAGGATAGCCTGATTAAGATTGAGACATGTTTAAGTTAATGAAATGGCAAAAACCATATACAGAAATACTCATTTTCACTCATTTTTTGTTGGATGTTTGAATTTAGGTACCTTCTATCTTTATCTTGGCATTAGTCATGGTATTTGATCATGTTAAATTGTGCACAGCTAAGTTCTTAGTTTTTAATGTTTTTATTATTTTTTAGACAAAGTTGAGAAGTTTGAAATTATGTATATATATAATTTCAACTATATATAATTATATATATGCACATTAAGAGCGGAATAGAAATGAGAATTTCAATAATGGCAAAAGAATCTAATGCAACACTTGAAAACAAATGTCACATCCTCAAATGCCAGAGGAGTCATGCATTTCAAATCCATCAGAAATCTGGATCCTGATCCAGAGATCTGGTAAGACTGGTAATGTGTTAAACATCCTAAAGAAACAACTCCCTACCTTGCTACAAATCTTAAACTATAAAAACCCTTCCTCCCTTCTTTCCTTCCTTTCTTCCTTCCTTCTCTTGCCCCTCTTTGTGTTTTCTTCTATGTGGTTCTAGGGATTGAACCCAGGGTCTGTCTGTTACTGAGCTACATCCCCAGTCCTTTCTAATTTCTATTTTCAGTCAGGGTCTTGAAAAGACCTTGCTGAGGCTGACCTCAAGCTTGTGATCCTTCTGCCTCAGCCTCCCAAGCTGCTGGGTTACAGAAGGTGCCAATAAGCAAGGCCCTAAATATCTACTTCTTAATAGTGTTAAGAAATTCAGAAAGCATTATTAAGCCTAATAATTTTGATATTTTCTGTCTCAAGTCACTAATTTTCAACTATGTTTTACCTATTACAGAAAAAGAAGTTAAATTTCTAATATTGACAGAAGATGGGAATAGAGCTCATACATACTGTGTGAGAGGCACTGGGTTCAATAATACCCAGCGTGCATGTGCATGCACATACACATACATACATACACACACACACACACACACACAAATCATTATCATCAAGCTTGTTTTTCCTTTGAATTTCTATTATGAAGAAATCATCAGTTTCCTATTTCTTTCAGTTCTTTACTCTCCCAGTGATCCTGATTAAACATAAAGTCACTTTTTCATTCTAAATTAGTTTTCTATCAACTCCTTTGTTTATATTCACAATGCCTCAGACCTAACTAATTTAATAGTTTCCTAACTTGTCCTCTGTATTACAACCTATTCTGCAATATGACATTATACTAAATTTCCTAAAACATATTCTGATTACCTAGCTTCAAAACTTAAGTACACTTCATTGTCTGTAGGATAAATTCTAAATGAGTCAGCCTAAAATCCAGGCTTCCAATAAAATAAACCCCATCCATCTGCTAATTACCAACATTATTATTTCTGCTAACTAGTCAAGTGCCTCAAAATTCCTTAATATGACACGCTTATTCCTAGCACCACACATTTGTTTGCATTGAACCCCAGAAAGATGTCTTCCCTGTTCCTATTTATTCAAAGCTTACACTTTTTTCAAATTTCTCTTCAATTTCCAGGTTTCTATCCCATCTCTGAACATCAATAACATTTGATTGTCTGTATCGCTTATTTTGACCTTGTTTTTGAAATGTGAACTGAATTTGAACTTTATTTATATTGGAAGTACCCACACTCATGCACACAGAGGAAGAAAATGAATTAACCTTAAAGCATTTCTAACATTTTTAAAGGAACACCTCAGTTCCATCTGTCAATTTTATTTTGGAAAGTCCTTTCTCTACATAAAATATAAATTAGCATGCTTGGAGAAATGATTGATTCCAGAGTATAGGTGATTTAAATACAAATTAGTCTGAAACATCCTGTCAAAATAAAATTTTTTAAAAAATCAACAAATTCCTGTTTTTCAAATGAACTAGCTGAAGAGCCAGGTAACTTTTCCAAAGTACTATGGCAAGTTAAGTGGAGAACTAGAGATTCTAACTGTTAGTATAGTCATCTGGTGCCACTATATTGTGGGTTAAAAGATGAGTGTTTAGTTTTAATGTCAAATAATTTATCTTAATAATAAATTACACTTTTAACTGATTAAATATGGACCTCCTGGAGTCTAGAATAGACTAGAATGAAGTTTTGTTAATTATTAGAGTTGTGTTTATTTCCATGTTTTATCAAAATAACACATTATAATCTTGAATTGCATTCAAAACCCTCTGGAGTCAGGTTTTTGTTTGGGTACTGGGGATTGAACCCAGGGGCACTTAACCACTGAGCCACATCACCAGCCTTTTTTATGTTTAGGGTCTCACTAAATTGCTGAGGCTGACTTTGAACTTCCAGTCCTCCTGAGCTGCTGGGATTACAGGCGTATGCTACCACACCTGGATGGAGTCAGGTTTTAAAATTACTTTTTTGAAAGGACAATTTGTCAAAGTTTAAAACCATCAAATGGTCAATTAAAGAGAACTGAGAAGAAAGTATAACTGAATTCTCAGGAAACTCAAACTCACAATCCATAATTTTAAACATGTTATTACACTCAGAAATTCATCCCAAAGCATTTGAACTGTTGATATTAATTATTATTAGTTATGAACTATGTTAACTGCCTTTTACTATTCCATAAGGTTTTACAAATTGAACTTAAAATTATCAATTTCAGTGATAAAACTTACCCAGTCACCTTAAGACTTACACATAGATACATTAGCATATTATTGAAGAGTAATCCCACAATAGCAAAGTGTATAATCTGAATTTTCCCTTCTCCTCTCCCAAGATTAGGATAATTTTATAATAAATAATCCGTAGTTTCTTACACCTGATTTTCTTCCATATCAGAGAAAAAAACTGTGAGGCTGCTGAGAAGAGAAAGTAACTGATTATAAAAAAAAAAGGAATGGAAATCAAACCTATAATCTCAATCTTTTTATTATCAAATGAATTTGCCTGGAATTTAAGGTAAGTCTATAGGAATTTGGGTTGTAGTTCAATATAAGTTGAAGAAAAACAAGTAGTGAATCTTTTGCCTCTCAATAGCAGTGCACCAGGGGCTGATTTCTCTACACTTAATGGGCACCAGTTACCCAGGCTTTTTAATTCTAGCTATCCTAGTGGGTGTGAAGTGGTATCTCACTGAGCTTGTGATTTGCATTTTCTTAATGGCTTAGGATGCTGAGCATGTTTTCCTGTGTTTACTGGTCATTACTGGACAGTACACATCCTTGGAGAAATGTCAATTCAGATACTTTGCCCAATTCTTAAAATTATTTGTCTTTTTAAAACTGAACTGTAAAGTTCTTCCCAACCTCCTTTTAATACATTTCTTTTCTGCTAATCATAGTCATCCAATTGCTTTCAACCAAAAATTTTAACTGAAATACACTGCTTTCCCTCTTTAATATAATTTATATTATTCTTTTCAAGAGAAACTGTGTGACTAAATTATGAAAATAAAGGCTGAAGTTCTCATAGCCTTGTGGAAAACAGAAGAGAGAGAGTGTGCCTCCAAGAGCAGAAAGGTAGAATATGAAATATTCTGGATGCTCTGTCATCCCAAATAATACATTAAATCATAAATAATACTTTTCACAAATAATCTATATAGCCTAAGCCTTATAAACTTCTTTTATTTCAATATCATTTTATAGGCCAAACTCTGAGTCTCTTTTTAAATGCATGTACTTTTTCCCCCCAGAGTTATTACATTTATTCACTTATCAAATATTTACTAAATTTTACTGTTTAATGTGCTGGGAATACAGTGGCTAAAAACAAACACGATACTCAACCTAATGCAGTTTACAGTCTCATTTGCCTGTCTCTGAGTTGTCTTCCAGTTGGGATGGCCTGACTAGCTTCCATTAGCAGTTATTTTGAGCCTATTATACTGAAAGAATCAAGTGGGGTGGACTCACCAAACCACCTGTTTCCTCCTGAAGGCTGGAGCAACCCGATGGTCTGGAGCAACCAGAAGGGGTCTGGAGCAACCACAGAGGCCTTTGCACATGGGTGTGTTTGAGGATTCTGGATCAACCCACACCCTGCTGAGGCTCTCCTGCTCTGGTGATGATCTCAGCAATCTTTTAGGCCATTCTGTCCTTCCTTAAATGCATATACATTGAACACGATGCCTTTAAACTTTGACTTTACATTAAGATTTAGAATCCACTGACTGTAAACTTGTAAATTTGTAATATAAATTAGTGGATTAAAAAAAGTAGAGGTAATTGGAAACATTTATTGTGGAAAAACTCTACAAGCCCAGGAGAGATACACACAAGGCCTAGTAGTTAGCAATAAATGCTCAGCTGAGGTTGGAGACTACAGAGACTAGGTTCAGAGGAGCAGCATCAGTCCACATGACTGCACAGAACCAGGCCTGGGAAGTCTGGATAGAGCCAACCTTAAGGAAGAAGGACAGAAGGATAAGAAGGAAAGAGAGCTCAAGTAATGAACCATGAGCCCCAGATTGGATTAAAGAAGGAAGTAAAGCCAATAGGGAGCTGAGGGAGGAGATAAGGATGAGCAAGGGGTTGTAGGTCTCAATTAAACTGGACAGTGGGGCATCAAGGAAATGAGTAAACAGAAAGCTAAAGTCATGCCAGGGAGTGAAAAGTAGTTTGGGGAAAAGGATATCAAATTGTTCAAGGATGGAACATAATAGTTAATTACCAAAA